TAGCAAGATGTCACTTCTGACATCATTGCTTACTACGTGTGAAATCTGTGAATGATCACAGATGTCACATGGTACAAGGCTATTCACAATAGCCTTGTACCATGTGACAAGCTGTGACCAATCACAACTCTCACAGTATTTCTCAATGGCTGCAAGAATGCAGTCAGAGAGAAGGAGAAATGATTGCTTTTACAGCCTTTATGGGTGTAAAAGCAATCAGTGTAAAAAAAAAATATATATATATATCTTCATCACCCCCCACAAGTAGTACAGTGCCACTATGCTAAGGTGACAGTATGTAAAAAAAAAAACCAAAAACATAAATAATATAAAAAAAAAAAAGTAAAAAAAAATTTAGCAAAAGTATAATTTTTGGTTATAAATTTATTTGGGTTAGTTTTTTTTTTACTAAAAAGATAATTGAATACAGTTTGACCAAGTGGTTAAGGAGCGTATAGCTAATTGTTTTGTTTTTTTTTGTGGTGGGGGGCTTTTGCAATCTATAAAAGATTGTTGGGTTTAAGCCTGTAATTCTGAGTAGACCTGAGTGAGATGCAGTAGCTCAGGGTCTGGAGGAGGACATTAAAGTGGAACTACACTGCATCTGAGCACCATCAACCAAAAACGCTATTTAATAATCTTGTAATATTCAAAGCAAACTCGCCCACACATCTACGTCTCCATGCTTTATTGATAAATCACTTAGAAAAACACCCCGTAACATATCTGGTCCTGGTCATCTTGAGTAAGGGCAGATCATTTGTGTAGTATTTACTTCCTGGAATCCATCTGCCCCTTAGCTTAGGCATGCAACCAGGAGGGTGTGTTTAGCTGAGAACCCCCCCAAGGCATCTGGGATGTATGACATTTCCCTAGGCCTGGAAACTAGGAGTTAACTGAAGAAATGTAAAAAAAAAAAAGGGGTAAAACAAGTAAATATAATATGCCTTCCTATTTTTATTTACTAATGATAGCAGCATAGGGATTAAAATTGTCAATGTTGACTGAGAGAGTGAAGATGCACTTTAATGACTCTCTGTTGTGCTATTCATTTTTTAAATTTCTTTACACTTTTTGGTTTTAGTAACCTATAATATATGATGAAACTGTAATATTATTTGAAAACTATGCTGTATTGCTGTATTCCTTTTTTTCAGCATAATGTGTTTGGCAGCAGTCATTCTGTAGTGTGCTTTCATAAGAGGACCTCATAGTGGGTCCATTGTTCACTTACACCTTTCAGATCTATGGTGCAGACAATTGTAAGTGACACATTAGGGTAGATTGCATTGTGATAAAGTAACTGAAGTAGCAAAGCTAGAGTTTTTTTTTCAAATTAATGAGCACATTTCTGTATTTTAATTGTAAGTATTTGTATAAGATACTTGTTTTGAAAAAAAAAAAATACTATAAATATATATGATATATAACCAACACTATGTTGGCAAAGTATTCTGGGCTTTCTAATAAGAAAGCCGAGCATTGCCTGTGCACTTTCTGGTAGCTTGTATCAGTATTTATGGTCTGTGCTAGGTAGAGGGAGGTTCCACTGCATTCATTTTTCTGGGTCTGTGTTAAATACAACAAATGCTAGTTGAGTCTTTAGCTGTTTTCTAGATTAGTGGGCTCTGGCTGCTGATTGTAAGTGACCATATGCAATATTTTCAGGTTATCTGAGCAAAAAAAAACCTTCCTATCAAGTAACTCTCCACAGTTAAAAATTTGAATTTGCAAAAAAAAAAAAAAGACTTCCAGCAGTCAGACAATCATATAGACATCATTATTCTTATTATACAGGATTTATATAGCGCCAACAATTTGCTCAGCACTTTACAATATAACGGGAGACGATACAGCAACAATACATTTCAATATAAGAGGGTTTGGAGGGCCCTGCTCCTTGGAGTTTACAACCTAAGAGGGAGGGGCTAGTGGTACGAAAGGTAATAACTGTGGGGGATGGACTGGCAGGAGGATTGAAGATTCCATTATTGGCTGAAGGCAGGATAGGCTTTCTTGAAGAGAGAGGTTGTCAGAGATCGCCTAAAAGTCAGTAGAATCAGCGATAGTCTGATAAATTTGGGTAGAGAGTTCCAGATGGATGGGGGAGGCTCTGGAGAAGTCCTGGAGACGAGCATGGGAGGAGGGGGACAAGGAAGCTAGAGAGTAGGAGGTCGTGCGAGGAGCGGAGAGTATGGTTTGGGTGATATTTGGAGACAAGATTGGTGATGTCATTTGGGGCAGAGTTATAAATGGCTTTATATGTTATTGTTAATGTTTTAAACTTTATTCGTTGGGCAATGGGAAACCAGTGGAGGGATTGGCAGAGAGGGGTGGCCATTGATAGTCATTGTAACAACCTCCAATTGCATAGAATTGTCTCTATTTTCTTGTTGTATTGGGGTGTACAGTGCAGTCTACACCAGAGTTTGATCACAGTACCTTGTGCTCTTTAACTGACCTGGTCTTCCTCTCTTCTTCTGTGCTATGAATGTGCATAAGGATCATCGTAACATGGGAGTGTGAAAATTACTCATCCTATTATGGGAGTCCAAACCTATGTTGTCTTTGAGCATGCGCTGGAAATCGCATGTGCGTGCGCAGTAATGTGCATTGCCAACAAAACTCATGGTCACAGTTTGTTCTCTACTTAGGAAATATTCACGGTACACTGGAATGAAAGCAAGACTAAGTTCCATTGGAACTGGACCTCAGACTTTCCTTTGAATTGCACATCGCACTCTGTAAGGATCCGATGCTTTGTCCATGATGATGTCTACAACGGAGAGATCCAGCATAGTAAATGGAGTGCTTTAAAAACAATAGAAGGTAATGGCATGGTTTGTGTCATTAAAAATGCATTTCTAAAAAAAAAAGAAAAAAAAACCTTGACAGGAATAGTAGGCCATAAATGTTGCAGAGACAAAAACATGATTTTGCACTAAGATACAAGTCAGATTTTAGGCATCCCATGTAATAGAAATGTCAGTTTTGGTGAGATAATCCCCATGGGTTAATCACTTTTAAAGGGATGCAGATCCTGTAGCTTTCTTCGTTAGGACCCTGAAAGTGCACCAGTTGAGTATAATGAACCTAACACTCCCATTTAGAATGAGTATGCAGTCAGTATGGTGAAACAAAGCTATTTCTTCAGAGCAACAAAGGTAGGAATCTACAAAGTTATATTGATCAGAGGGGATTGTTTTTTCAACAAAAGTGGAGTTACTCTTTAAACATTCAGGTTATACTGCAGTCTACAAGAGAATTGGACACTACCAAACAAAAAAATGGTGGGCCAGCCCAGGATAACCCTTTCTACTACTAGCATGCCTCCATTTTTGCCCTAGGAGGATCTTTTCTTCAGCTCTGCTGTGTTAAAACAAACCTATTTTTTATTGCTATCACTTTTTTCTTATATTTTGATTCTTCAGCTTCAGGCGTAAGGTCCCATAGGGGGCTCTTTGAGTTCAGGGCAGTTCCTGGTTCCTGGGCATGTTAAACTTTGTTTGCAGTGTTGTCCACCCCTCAGTTAAGTTGCTTTTGGACTTTCTGACAGTATAATACTTCCTGTCTTTAAATGGAGGCGAAAGGCGAAATGGATGTTAATACTCACCAAAAATCTCCATTCCCTGGTCCCATCCTATGTGTTTATGGTCGTGCTCTCAATACTGCTTTGCTGCAAAACTGAGGCATGCTGGTAGCAGAAGGGATTTCCCTGGGGCAGCCTATAGTTTTTTTTTTTTTTTTTTTGGGGGGGGGGGGGGGGGGGGTTGGCAGCATCTAATCCTCCCCTAAACAGCAGTATAACATGAAAATGTAAGACTGCCTGTGCCTCTCAATGGACTCAAAGAAAAGGATTTTATGGCAATGAAAAAAATCCTTTCTGTGACAGAGTCATAACTTTTGCATATTGTTTAATAAGTTTCAAGTGTGTATGTATAACATCTTTATTTTATGACAAAGAGCTATACATATTTCACTTAGCCTTTACCCCAACATATATCTTCTGAAATGTTACATTTTTCTTATTACTTTTGTCATACATTTTTTTTTTAAGTCTTCATGAATTTATAAAAAGTCCTTCTTTTGTTTCTGTTTATATTTTAATTATACATGTTCATGCAGAGAGCTGTCTCATAGAGTACATGGAGTGTTTTTTTCTAGCATCACTTCCCTGTTACGGTATAAGTGGGTGTGGAAATCCTCTCCTAGTTACATTACCCAAACCCAGGAAACTGTTGAGATGCTTTATCCTGAAATTAAGTTTTAAATCCGTTCATTTTGGGTGCTAAATACATTTTATTTTTAAAAGTTGTAGTAAAGTTGACTTAAAAGAAAAAAAAAAAAAATCTTCTCCCTGCAATGTAATGCCATAATGATTTTGTATATATGGCATTACATCACATTATGAAAGACTTACCTTAGACGGAAGCCTTCCAGGGACGAGCTGTCACCGCTGACAGGGCTTCCATCTTCACCCAGTCTGCCTTCCGGGTTCTGGCCACTTGATTGAGTGAGCCATAGTGACGGCATGGGTATGTATGATATCAACGGCTTTAGGGACACTGAATATCTTCTAAACAGTGCATGCTTAGGAGGTATTCCTTGTACCTACAGGTAAGATTTATTATAAGCTTTCCTGTACATACAGTTTTCCAGTGGGAGTTTACTACCACCTTAATCTCCATTTTTGTTAGAGCAGTTGGTATTGTGGGTGGCTATTTGTGCATTCCCCACTAAATTCATCTACCCTTCATGCTTTGAAGCATTGAGAATGGTGTATTGCGCAGGTCAGACTGGACTGCTTTTAACTGATATTCAGAATCTTCCAAAAATATGCTAGTTGGGAAGTCATATTTACAGAATTGGCAGCTAATCCGCTGTTCACGTGGGTGTAATAATGAACAAATGGCATAGTGAGCTTCTGAAAATGTGAACATCCCATCAGATTTTAGGCAGTATGATAATAATATGTTTTGCCTCACATAGGTGACACCAGCATGGAAGATTCCATGTTTCCTATCGATAAGGTGCTTCTCGTTGGCTCCAACATGACTGTCTGCTGTAAAGTAAGAAATGAGGAAAGCATGGTGGACTCAATCCAGTTTAACGGTACTAACTATCCTGTAATCCAGCTTGGCAGCAGCAACGTTGGTGGCATTCAGTTCTTCAACATGAACAAGTCAGAGTCTAGTGGGGACAACATCATCTGCAACTCCAATTTGGACCCCTACACAGCCGGAACTGTAGTTTTTGTAGGATGTGAGTACGTTTTGCTGTAAATATTCACTTATACCATGTCACTTACTATCCTATCTAACCGTACCATTTTTATTGCTCCCTCTCATTTTCCTGCTCTCTAGCAATGCATACATAGCCTTTAGTTACACTTTTTAAAGCAGAGCTCCACCCAAAAAGGGAAGTTCCGCTTAAAAGACTGGTCCCCCCGCTCCCCTATAAGGATTGGGAGTGGGGGGAAGCGGGTACCCGAAATTGACAGGTACCCCACTCCCACTTCTGCTGCGATCGCATAGGTGATCGGAAGCGGATGTTGTCCTCCCCCCTCCCTCCCCATGGTCCTCTGGGACACGTGACAGGTCCCAAAAGACTACGGGGCCACTCAGGAAGCGCAGCGCTACTTGCGCATGCTCAGTGGGCACCCGGCTGTGAAGCCGCAAGCTGTCACACCTCGGTGCCCACACTGAAGATGCGCCAGACAGCTGGTGAAACAGGCCACGGGGAGGACATTGTGGGATCGTGGGACAGGTAAGTGGCTGATTTTTAAAAGTCAGCAGCTACAGTTTTTTTAATTTTTTTACAGTGTGAGTGGAACTCCACTTTAAAGCCCAATTGAAGCATGTCAGACCTCAGAAGAGAGACCACTGCTTCCACATAGAGAGCAAAGGTCCTTCTGTGCAGCATGATAACCAGGTTTAAAGAATTGTTGCTGCTTTTGGATCTGAAAACACTCACAAATAGCAGTAAGACATACGTTTGTTTTCCTGCACACTATTTATCCCATGGATTTTACATCCAACTTGGGCTTTAAAAGGATCACATAAAGTCATCTGAGGGCTACACCTAATCAATTTCACAGAAAGATTACGGCACTTTGGTAAATAATAGTAATTATCACAATGTAAGCTCAAAGTAAGGAGGCCTTACAACATTTCCTAAAGTATATAGCTGGAAAATGAAGGAAGGAAATGTAAGTAAGGAAGTGAAACATTTATCAGCTGGGAAACAGCTGGGATAGTGTTCAATTAAAATCCACAAACCATATAGAGGATCAAGAGGGCCACATGTATCCACATAGCCCTGAGTATAGGAAAAACTGGAGTGAACTTCAGCATAGTTGCAATACTGCATTAGGTGTTCAGTTATTGTCTCGTTTCATGCACTGAGGCACTTTATATTACCCATTTGGACTAACTCTCTTTTTCTGAATATGCATTTCTTGAGGATAAAAAATGTTGCTAGAATTTCCCTTCAATCTCCTGTTTTGTGCTACTTTATAGTTGCTTACTTTTTGGCCACATCGCAATTTGTACATTTCTGCTATGGGCCTGTTTATTTGGCGAGACACTGCACAGGATGTGTATTGCTAGAGAGATTTTTTTTTTCTTGGGAGAATGCACGTGATCAGCACTGCACAGACAGAGGTCAGAGGTTCTGCGTCCTCCTAGAGAAAACTCCTCCTACAAGCTTTAACCAGTGCTCTGCTGAACACTGATAGAAGTCACAAGACTGCTGTATCTGCTGATGAGAAAATGTAGTTAGCATTTTATATTTAGTTTATATTTACTAAAATAATTGCATTTCCATGTTCTGTGTACTGTTGGAGACCAGATACAGTGAATGCAGGATCTTGGGTTTAGTAACACTTTAAAATAAAAACATAATACATATATTGTTTTTTTTAAAGACAGCCAAGCTTTCTTTTTGTGAATATTGTCTTGCAACGATAATTATTTTTTCACAATCCTTAAACTTAACAAAACAAACTTTTTCTCTTTTTAAAGGATAAGTTCACCTTTTGTAACATGTTACATATTACACCCATGTTCAGGGTGTAACATGCTAACTATCGGACTGACCCCCGCACTCCCCGATCCTTTGCGGCTGTCAACTTGTAGTTTTCAATGAACTACCACGGTGCTCCACAGCACCGTGGTAGTTCATTGAGCCTCCCTGTGAGTAAGTAACTGATTGCCCATACGGGATGTACAAGCAAGCAGATATACTGACAGGTCAGGGGGAGACCTTCATGGCTCCAGTGATCTGCTGATTGCTGGTGCAATGCTTTAGAGCAGGGGTGTCCAAACTTTTTTGGAAGAGTGCCAGATTTGATGAAGTGAACATGTGCGAGGGCCGACCATTTTGCCCGACATTCTGATGAACCATTAAAATTAAATGCAAATGAACTATTTTATGCAAAAGTTTATTGAAAACGGCATAATTTTCATTTTGTGACTTGGATGACAAATCTAAACAGGTGTTAAATCACTCTGCCAGCACAGGGAGAAGGAAAGCCCAAATCTCGCGAGATCTCGGAGGTCGCGAGATTTGGGCTTTGTTTCTCCTTGCACTGTCTGATGACGTCAAGCGATCCTGAGCACCAATCCATTATAGCCCAAATTGATACCGTATTTTTCGCTCCATAAGACGCACCTGACCATAAGACGCACCTAGGTTTTAGAGGCGAAAAACAGGAAAAAAAAATTCTGAACCAATGGACTGCAGACATAGTACAGGAGATGACCAGAGACTGCGGACACAGTACAGGAGATGACCAGAGACTGCGGACACAGTACAGGAGATGACCAGAGACTGCGGACACAGTACAGGAGATGACCAGAGACTGCGGACACAGTACAGGAAATGACCAGAGACTGCGGACACAGTACAGGAGATGACCAGAGACTGCGGACACAGTACAGGAGATGACCAGAGACTGCGGACACAGTACAGGAGATGACCAGAGACTGCGGACACAGTACAGGAGATGACCAGAGACTGCGGACACAGTACAGGAGATGACCAGAGACTGCGGACACAGTACAGGAGATGACCAGAGACTGCGGACACAGTACAGGAGATGACCAGAGACTGCGGACACAGTACAGGAGATGACCAGAGACTGCGGACACAGTACAGGAGATGACCAGAGACTGCGGACACAGTACAGGAGATGAGCAGAGACTGCGGACACAGTACAGGAGATGGCCAGAGACTGCGGACACAGTACAGGGGATGGCCAGAGACTGCGTAAACAGTACAGGGGATGGCCAGAGACTGCGGACACAGTACAGGAGATGGCCAGAGACTACGGACACAGTACAGGAGATGGCCAGAGACTGCGGACACAGTGCAGGAGATGGCCAGAGACTGCGGACACAGTGCAGGAGATGACCAGAGACTGAGGACACAGTACAGGAGATGACCAGAGACTGAGGACACAGTACAGGAGATGACCAGAGACTGCGGACACAGTACAGGAGATGACCAGAGACTGCGGACACAGTACAGGAGATGACCAGAGACTGCGGACACAGTACAGGAGATGACCAGAGACTGCGGACACAGTACAGGAGATGACCAGAGACTGCAGACACAGTACAGGAGATGACCAGAGACTGCGGACACAGTACAGATGACCAGAGACTGCGATGACCATTCACAAAGCGCAGCACATGCGCAGTGGGCACCCGGCTGTCACAGAAGCCGGCGCGGGAAGACTGTGCAGCGCTGGAGCGAGGAACAGGTAAGGCCCTGCAGGAGACAACAGCTGAGCGGCCGGCCCGGTATTCTGACATGGTGGCGGCAGAAATACCGGACCGGCCGCTTTATATTCGCTCCATAAGACGCACTGACATTTTCCCCCCTTTTTTTGGGGGAAAAAGTGCGTCTTATGGAGCGAAAAATACGGTAAATGGTAGCCCCAGTAGTAATTCCCTGTGCACCACCTGGGATCCCTCGGCCCACGTTCCGGACCCCACAGATGAGCTGCCCAATATATAACTTACGGCCCTCCACTAGTGATTCTGCGAATGCCACTGAGGACTCCAGGGATCTGTCGAGCGGGAATTGACGTCATCAGCCGGCACACAGAGAAGGAAAGCCCAAATCTCACAAGATCTCGGACATCGCAAGATTTGGGCTCTCCTTCCTGCGCCAGCTGATGATGTCAAGAGATCGCTGGAGTCCTCAGTAGCTTTCAGGGAATCATTATCGGGGGCCGTAAGTTATATATTTGGGTAGCTCACCTGTGGGGCCGCGGGCCGGACTTTGGACATGCCTGCTTTAGAGGCTCCACAAACAAAAAATAATAAATGCACATTTTTTTTTAACTGGAAAAAAAAATGCATTTATTATTTTTTGTTACAAGGTGAACATTGCTTTAAACAGTGTTAGATTAAAAATAGTGTTACTGCACAAAAAGTGCACATTTTATTCTGTAATTTGTTTAAAATGACACTATAATTATGATTCTGGTGCAAATCATTGCAAAGTTATTTACAAATGAAGTAAAGTGTTTTGTTTTGTTTTTTTTACAATGTGAAACATGTAAATATATGTTAACGGTGTAAAAATATTAATTAACAAAGCAAGCAAAAACAAAAAAGTTTAGATATTGGTTAATAAAATAAAAACAAACAAAAAATCAGCATCAGCAAATTATAATCGAATAGAGAAAGAGAATGAGTTATTTAGGGCTGATTATAGTAAACTAAGGGTTAATAAGAACATAAACATAAAAAACATTAATTACAAAAAAAACAACTTTTTTTTACTTGTCAGGTTGTTTTCACTGACTTTACCTGCAGATTGAAGTTCATCCCTTTGATCTGTAGATTAATAAACAGAAAGCTACAAAATGGAACAATGTTTCTTTGTATTTTTCTGTCAGACTAGACATTACTAGAATTGACATTGACAGACTTTTTCTGTGTACTCTGCAATGCCTTGATTAGGCTCAATTCACACTACCGTGACTTGGGATCCGACTTGTGAGAACCCAAGTTGCATTACATGTGAATGTGACAGAAGCGTAGGCGGGACAGAACGCACGCGGAGGATGATAAACACACAAAGTTTTATTGAAATAGGAGAGACACTCAATCAGGGTAACAAGGGTAGCGTCCGGGTACCCAAAAAGGGGGGAAGAGGGGGAGGAGTCCAAACAGTGATAATCCGGCTCAGGATTGGGCGATTCAAGTAGCGATGGTCCGAGCACTCAGTGAGGCAGTCCAGATAGCTACGATAATCCGGGCACACAATAGAAGCAGTCCAGGCAAGCAATAGTCCGGGTATTCAATGGGGCAGTCCAGGCAAGGGAGAATATGGGCGTACAATGGGGCAGTCCCGGCAGGGGCAATATAGGGATTCAATGGGGCAGTCCAGGCAGGGGTGATATGGGCACCCGTTTAGGCAGTCCGGGCAAGGGGCACACAATAAGGACAGTTCCACACTCCGCCACATGCGGCTTGTAGGGATACTCACGGCAGATAGTTTCCAGGGGCAACCAGCGCACCATGTGCAGGAACACTCACAATTTCAGGGGTAGCAGCAGCCAGGAGAAAGGGACCCGTGCAGCACTCAGCTTTCCAGGGACACAGCGGTCAGCAGGCAGGAACAGCTTTCCAGGGACACAGCGGTCAGCAGGCAGGAACAGCTTTCCAGGGACAAACAGCGGTCAGCAGACAGGAACAGCTTTCCAGGGACAAACAGCGGTCAGCAGACAGGAACAGCTTTTCAGGGACAAACAGCGGTCAGCAGACAGGAACAGCTTTCCAGGGACAAATCGCGGTCAGCAGACAGGAACAGCTTTCCAGGGACAAACAGCGGCCAGCAGACAGGAACAGCTTTCCAGGGACAAACAGCGGTCAGCAGACAGGAACGGCTTTCCAGGGACAAACAGCGGTCAGCAGACAGGGACCCTCACAGTACTCAGCTTTCCAGGGACACAGCGGTCAGCAGGCAGGGGTAGCTTCCTAGGGACACAACGGTCAGCAGACAGGGATCGTTTTCCTTGGACAAACTGCGATCACTGGAGGTCTGGCCTCAGCTCAGACCTCACACAGCTGTTCCCTTCCAGAACAGGGGACCAACAGGCAGCCGGGTCTTGCTCCGGTCTTCTTATTACCGGAGCAGGACGCTTCCTGGTTGCCCCGGCAACGGCCGGCCCTGCGTCGGGTTACCGAGGCAACGAGGCACGCCCCCTCACTCCGGGCGCGGGTCTTTGTCTCCGGCGGGCGCAGAGCGCGGGGAACCTTGGGGCTGCGCTGCGCCCGCCGGGACAAGGAGGGGGGGGGGGGGGTGCGTGCAGAGACACCCCAGTGGCCAGCACATGAAGAATCCATGTTCAGGCACAGCGGGGTGTCAGACTCCTCAGCTGCATCGCCTAGGAGAGGTGCTAACCGCACCACAGGGGGCAGGTTCCTGACATCCAGCACAGCCTTTGATGTAGGCTTGTGCTGGACATAGGGACCTGTAAGGGGAAGGGAGGGGGGAGGATGAAGGAGTGCAAGGGGGAGCTGTGACAGGAGGGGGGAGGATGAAGGAGAGCGAGGGAGAGACCGTGACATCCCATGTTAATCAATGAGAACTGTCTTAATAAGCAGTACTGACGTACCTCCGACTTTAGAAAAGGTTCCTGTACTACTTCAAGGTGATCTCTATCAAAGTTGTGCCCATAGACTTTAAGGGAAGTCGCCTTAAGTTGGATCCTCATCTATATTGATGTCATTTGGGTCTTTTTTTTTTTTTTGTTAACCAATTGTAAAATATCAGTTAAATTTCTTTTTATTTATTAAATTTCTAATGAAATCCTAATTTTCTGAATGGAATTCAATTCGGTCGAAAATTGATCGACCAATCTACGTTCTGTGTAAAGAATAGCTGGTTGCTAAGCAGCGGGCCATTAAGCTGGCTGCCCCATCCTTACCAACTGATGACTTATTAGCTGTCGGCGGGTTTCCCACTGACAGTATAAATAAAAAGAATTCCAGCAATTATAAATTTAAAAGAAAACTGCGTGGAGGTCCCCTCCCTATCCATACTACTCCCTTCAGGTCTGGTATGGATTTTAAGAGGAACCCCATGCCAAAATTAAAGGGAAAAAACTGCGTGGGGTCCCCTCCAAAATCCATACCAGATCCTCATCCGAGCATGCAACCCGGCAGGTCAGGAAAGGGGGTGGGGCAAGCGAGCTCCCCCCCTGAACCACATACCCTCAACATGGGGGGGGGGGGGTGCTTGGGGTAGGGGGGATCCCCCCCGATATGAATGAGTATGAGTTATGGGTTAATACTCATTCACCAAAAAAGTGAATAAAAGCATGACAGTTTTTTAAAAAAATAAATAAATAAAATGGCAAAGTCGCCAGCTAATCGCCAGGAAGTCGTTTGGCAAAGTTGTGCGACTTTCAGGTCGCAGTAGTATGAATCAGGTCTTAATCAGAGCTGAATTGCCAAATGCTGGGATGAAGGGTGAGGGGGGTCCTGGCAGAATGACTGAACGTGTTACACACGCCCTGTGGTTAAAGCAAATGTAGCATTCAGACCCGCTTTAGCCATGGTACTAGTAAGCTAGTACTATATGTGTTGATAGGTGTAGCTCAGTTATGATGGAAACACTCCCCCCAGGAGGGGGGGATCCACCTCAGATGCCCTCTTTTCATGTTTTCCCCTCCCTCCTATGCTTCTTCTTTTTTATTTTTTACTCCCTGGTCCTCTGTGTCTTTATATACCTTCACTGATGCTCCCTGGGTGCTCCAAATATAAAATTCCCCCGGCTTGGTTTGCCAAATAGCACAACCCTTTCTGTCTTTGTAAGAGTAGACGGATACAAGGGTCAGTGCTTAAATGACATTATCTAACTTGACACTGATTTTATCTTTTTATATTGTATTGATGATGCTCACGGGTAGTTTGGGCCATGACCCTACCTCTACTTGCATTCTTTAACCTTTACAACTGTTGTTTTTTTAACTCCTGGAGAATGTATATTAGTGTTGTCTAAATCCTATGTAATGTACATCTCACTGTATGTATGATGCTGATGTACTGAATAAACAAAGAATTAATAAAAACAAAATCCATGGACATGTTATATACACATCAGCCTATAACTCCCATTGTGTTTTGGGTAACTTGGTAGTTCACTTGTACCATCCCTGGGATATGCCTCCACCGTACTCTTTCCCCCTCTAGTTTTCGCTTTTTCCTTTCTTCTCATTTGACTTTTTATATTGACAGCTATATGATTTGGCAGTGCTGATATTGTCCCCTAGTATGGACATAAGCTTTATAAAGATCTTATTAGTGCAATGTGTGTAGCACTTGGAAAAAGAATACCTAGAGAATTGTATATCTAGAAATGCTTTAGCTTACTTGACTACTGGACTACTTTTATGGTCTTAATAGATGGATCTGTATAATAACCTTTAGCTTTTTTGTATGGTATTTTATATCGTTAATAAAAAAAAACATTGAAAGCCATAAAATAGTAATTATGTTTTTTCATATGCAGATCCTCCAGTTGAACCACAAAACTTTAGCTGTGAAGCACCTGATCTCACGATAATCAACTGTACATGGAAAACGGGCAGACCCACTGGATTGTATGGAGAACGTGGTACAAAATACTCATTATATGAACGGTAAATTTATTTGGTGGAATGTTTTAGGTGTTTTGTATGTATGTGCGGATCTGCTGGTATTGTTGCCTGTACCTTTTAGTCTACATCTGTGTGGATTTAGTGCAGAATATACTACAGCAAAAAGGTCTAATTTTATTGGTATATTATGGTTAGGGGTTATATATATATATATATATATATATATATATATATATACACACACACACACACACACACTGCTCAAAAAAATTACAGGAGCACTTTGACATCAGATCTCAATGGAGAGAAATCTCATGCTGGATATCTATACTGATATGGACTGGGTAATGTGTTAGGAACGTAAGGATGCCCCATTGTTTGATGGAAATGAAAATTATCAACCTGCAGAGGACTGAATTCAATGACTCCCCGAAAATCTAAGTGAAAAAATTATGTAGCAGGCTAGTCCATTTTGCTGAAATTTCATTGCTGCAACTCAAAATGGTACTCAATTACTCAGTAGTTTGTATGGCCCCACTTGCTTGTATGCATGACTGACAATGTTGGGGCATGCTCCTAATGAGATGACGGATGGTGTCCTGGGGTATTTCCTCCCAGATCTGGACCAGGACATCACTGAGCTCCTGGACAGTCTGAGGTATAACCTGGCAGCGTCAGATGGACCGAAACATGATATCCCAGAGGGGTTCTATTGGATTTAGGTCAGGCAAGAGTGGGGGCCATTCAATGGCATCAATTCCTTCATCCTCCAGGAACTGCCTGCATACTCTTGCCACATGAGGCCGGGCATTGTTGTGCACCAGGAGGAACCCACTGCACCAGCGTAGGGTCTGACAGTGGGTCCAAGGATTTCATCCCGATACCTAATGGCAGTCAGGGTGCCATTGTCTAGACAGGCAGTGAGCACAGGGCCCACTAGAGGACATTGGGCCCTCAGGCTACCCCCATGAAGTCTGTTTCTGATTGGTCAGAGACATTCACACCAGTGGCCTGCTGGAGGTCATTTGTAGGGCTCTAGCAGTGCTCAGTACTGTTCCTCCTTGCACAAAGGAGCAGATACTGGTCCTGTCCAGCTCTCCTAGAGTAACTGCCTGTGTCCTGGAATCTCCTCCATGCTCTTGAGACTGTGCTAGGAGACACTGCATACTCTTGCCACGAGGCAGGGCATTGTTGTGCAGCAGGAGGAACCCAAGACCCACTGCATCAGCATAGGGTCTGACAATCGGTCCAAGGATTTCATCCTGATACCTAATTGGCAGTCAGGGTGCCATTTTCCAGCCTGTAGAGGTCTGTGTGTACCTCCATGGATAAGCCTCCCCGACCATCACTGACCCACCACCAAAACGGTCATGCTGAACAATGTTACAGGCAGCATAACGTTTTCCATGGCTTCTCCAGCCTCTGGCAGTGCTCATCCTGTTCCTCTTTGCACAAAGGAGCAGATACCGGTCCTGCTGATGGATTAAGGACCTTCTACGGCCTCATCCAACTCTCCGAGAGTAACTTCCTGTCTCCTGGAATCTCCTCCATTCTCTTGAGACGGTGCTGGAACACACAGCAAACCTTCTGGCAATTGCACATATTGAAGTGCCATCCTGGAGGAGTTGGACAGCCTGTGCAACCTCTGTAGGGTCCAGGTATGGCCTCATGCTACCAGTAGTGACACTGACCCTAGCCAAATGCAAAACTAGTGAAAAACAGTCAGAAAAATGAGTAGGGTAAAAAATGTCAGTGACAGTTCCTGTTTTGGGGGTTGTCTCATTGTTGCCTATCTAGTGCAACTGTTGTTCATTTCATTTACACCAAAGCAGCTGAAACTGATTAACAACCCTCTCTGCTACTTAACTGATCAGATCAATATCCCAGGAGTGTAATTGACTTGATGCTATTCTCTGATTAAAAAGTGTTCCTTTCATTTTTGTGTGTGTGTGTGTGTAAAATATGTGTGTATATATGGCTATATATCGTGTGTACTGCTGGTGATGTAGTCTTCAGTCTCTTGTACTGTTTATGACTGAAATCTAATTTATGACCCTAAACAACTTTATTTCAGCTTCTCAGGAATTAACCTGACATGTTCAGGGTACACTGGAGATCAGGAGGATTACAACTGCAGCATGGATGTGAAGAAAGGACAGAACCTATATGAGTTTCTGCTTCTTGGTACAAATCCCCTGGGAGCAGCAAACACTTCCCTGGACTTTAATGTCAGAGAAAGGAGTAAGTAGAACGAGCCTTACTGAATGATTGTAGAGTACTGCAGATTCTTTCTTGGTAGCAAGATTGTTTTCCTTTGCTCATATTTATTTTAAGTTATTTATTAACAATGTATGGGTCAAATAGTTGTTTTGCCTAAAAGATGATGAATAAAGTTGAAATATTTATATAATTCCTGGGAAGTGGGCACCCCCATAGCATCCTCACATACAATGTAGGACTGTTGGCCCTGCATTGTACGAGGTGACATTGAAAGGCACCCCATGTCCCCGTCAGGAACCAAGGGATGAGAAGTGTGCACAGCGCTGTATACAGAATGAGGGGATGGAGAATAGGGAATGTACAGTATTGCATATGGATGGAGGTGGTGCAAAATAAAAAATGTACAGCCTGGCATACAAAATATGCCACAGTGGCAAAGGGAACATACAGCTGAATTCCCTATTTCATATGCAGTGCTCTACATTTCTTATTCTTCACCCCCTTATTGTGTAATTCCCTATTCTCCACCCCCTCATGCCTTGCTATACATTATCAATTCCGCACCCCCTCATTCTGCATGCAGTGCTATGTATTTCCTATTCCACGAAGCCTGATTCTGTATGTAATGTTGTACATTCCCTGTTCCCCATTCCATATGCCATGCTGTCTGTTTCCCTATGTCACAATACTTTATTTCTCAGGGAGCTCGCAGCGCAATGATCACCGGTGCTCTGTGTCCGAGGGATCACGGAAAGAGCCGAAGATGTCCAATCACAGCTGATCACATGTAAACACGAAAATGTCGGTTATCGGCATTTCTCTCCTCTTTAGCTGTCACGCTGACAGCTCGAGAGGAGAGCCGGTAATCGGCTTTCCGAGGAGGGGACATGTACACTGATCGTCAGGGCACTGATGATCAGTGTGCCCTGATGATCAGTGTGGCCCCAGAAGTGCCACGTGCCAGTGCCCATCAGTGCCACGTGCCAGTGCCCATCAGTGCCACACATCAGTGCATACCAGTGCACATCAATGCCACATCAGTGCCCATCTGAGCTGCCTTTCAATGTCACCCATCAGTGCCAGTCAGTGCCACCTATCAGTGCCAGTCAGTGCCGCCTATCAGTGCCAGTCAGTGCCGCCTATCAGTGTCATGTATCAGTGTCATGTATCAGTGCTGCCTTTAAATGCCCATCAGTGATGCCTGTCAATGCCCATCAGTGCAACCTACCAGTGCCTCCTCATCAGTACCCATCAGTGCCACCTATCAGTGTCCATCAGTGCAGCCTATCAGTGCCCATCACTGCAGCCTCATTAGTGCACATCAGTGAAGGAGAAAAATCACTTATTTACAAAATTGTATAACAAAAACTAAGAAAAAACTTTTTTTTTTTCAACATTCTAAGTGGTTTTTGGTTTGTTTAAAAAAAAAATAAAAATCCCAGAGGTGAATAAATACCACCAAAAGAAAGCTCTATCTGTCTCAAAAAAATGATTTCATATGGGTACAGTGTTGCATGACTGCGCAATTGTCATTCAAAGTGTGACAGCGCTGAAAGCTGGAAATTGTCCTGGGCAGGAAGGGGGTATAAGTGCCCTGTAGGTGAGGGGTTAAAGGTATTTCCTCTCACTTCTTATTTTTTTTATGAGACTGGAAGTGAAATCTTACCAATCAGACACAGGTAGCAAAAAGGGGTTAGAACCCTCCCTTACTCTATCCAAAATGAAAAAAAAATTGCCTTTAGTTCTACTTTAAAGCTCAAAGCCAACACTTTTTGTTAGGGAAATGTTCACATCTATGTGTGTTTTCTTTTTGGGGGGGGGGGTTTGCCATCTGTGCCCCTATTGGGCAGATTTCACCCCACTTATTGTTCTGACCAACAAGGACACAGCCAAGGGAAATCTGTACTGGAAGGAATATGTATGTTTCTATTAAGCACTAGTTGCCTGACTGTCTGTTTTGACAAACTTGAAACAAATATGTAATATATGAAAGTCTGGGTAAAGTCAGCGCTTCAATTCTGCACATTTTTCTTCAGGTCGCTATCTTAAACAGTTCTAAATATTTAACTAAGAAGGTCAGTTAAACAACATAAATTGAAGCACTGATAAATCTGTTTCCTTCTACATGTGTTTTCTGAAAAGGTGGTTAGTTATGAATCTCCTTTGTGTTTTGTGTTCTTTCCTAGTTTGTCCGTTTCCGGTGGAGAGTGTCGGGATCCGTGACCTCAGCTCAACTGATGTGTCCCTTTCATGGCGTTTACCCGGCACTTATACTTCCATTAATCTCCTATGTGAGACTGAAATCAGGAAAACACACGGACAGGTGGAAAGGGTAAATATTATTTTTCCTTAGCGCTGTAGAATCATCCCCTATGGTCATTATTCACTTAATTGTTTACTTCTAGTAGCATGTTTTACCACAGTCAGAATTAATGGCCGATCAGTAATCGATCAGAAATTAAATCCTAAAAACTGTAACTATAGTTTATGGAAAAAAATGACATAGAACGTCTCTGCCTTCTATCACATCAATATTGTGATTGAGAGCCAGTCCTCCTAGCTCCTGATCTTTAGTACGGGACTTGGAACTTTTGGTGACTTCTCAATTCCAACACAAACACAGGTACGCACATATGCGGCCCCCATGGACAAAGACCCACTTCGGTGAGGCTGCATATGTGCATCCCTTCATCATAAAGGAGTTAATTAAAAGATAAGTCCACCTTTTGTAAAAATCGAAAAAATATAATTGCATATTTTTTTGCAGGTAAAAAAAAGTGCATTTATTATTTTTTTTTAATAGGAGCCTGCAAAGCATTGCACTCATGATCAGCAGTTTGTGAGTGCAATCTCAGGCTCCTGCAGATGGTTGGTTTATCTATCTGCCCATACCTTATACGGGCAGGAAGTTACACAATGACAGAAAGCATCAACGAACTATGTAGAGTGCTTAATAGCACCATAGCAAATCATTGAGAACTACAAGCTGACAGCTGCAAAGGATGTTGGTACTTGTAGTTCACTCATTCACAGAACTCTGGGAATGAATAATGCAGCTGGGTCGGCAGAGCCCCACACAGCCATGTTTTTTTTAAATTGTGACAGCGAATGTGGAGAGAAGATCCCCTGCTTGCTCTCACAGCAGGGGATGGGGTATGAGGGCTGCTGTAACAGTAACATTTTACTTATGTTACACCCTGATTACGGGTGTAACATGTTACAAAAGGTGGTCTTATCCTTTAAACACAAAGAACCCCTTGTCAATTGGGGGAGAGGCTAGTATTGGATGCAGTAGCAGAATAAAGCCAGCCATAGATTGTTTGTTTGTTTTTTTCAAACAAATGAATGGGATTCCCTTTTGAGATAAAACTTTTACATAAATGAATAAAAGCTGACCATTTTAAGCACCCCTGTCAGTGATAAATGGTTTGTGTCATCCCTCTAACTGCCACATTTGCTGGACAGTGGTTGGACTTTAACTGGTGACTGCTTCCTGAAGGGGATGGGGAAACAATAGGGCTGCCTCCCCAATTCTGGCCTTGCTAGCACAGAGTCACTGACCCAGTTTAGACTGATTTCACTGGCTACATGCTTGTACGTATCTCACTAGGCATTGAAGCCAGGAACAGGATGAAAGCTTTTTCCATTTCTAAAAAAGAAAAAAAAAAATCTTAGTTGCTTACTATCTTTGTATGTATTTCTGTATGTGTGTATATATATATATATATATATATATATATATATATATATATATATTTATATATATATATTATTTTTTTATTTATTTTTTTTTTACAGCGTAACATTACCTTGAAAGGAGCAGATAGTACATTCTACACTTATCCTCTTAATAACCTGCATCCATTCACCAACTACTATATTCGTGTTCGCTGTTCGTCGTATGATCATTTCTGGAAATGGAGCAATTGGAGCAAAGAAAAGAATCACAAGACTTTGGCAGCAGGTACACTGCAAATAGTACATGTCTCCCTTAAGACCTCAGGCAGGATTATGTGTGAATATATATATATATATATTTATGTATATGTATGTATATGTGTGTGTGTGTGTGTGTGTTTAATTAAAAATTAAAAAAAAAATATTAACATACCTTGACATCCTTAACCCTTTTTAAGAACAGACAGCCCTGCATGTCAGGTCCAACTGATAATGAGATCTGCCAGCACAGATAGGATAATTATGGTAAACATAGCTCTAGCCACCTCAATAACATTACATAGAACGGGAAAGCAAAGTATGATATTTAAAAAAGTAAAAAGGTGGTTTTTAATTTTTGTGCATGGGAACATGTAAAAAATACAAATTAGGTGTTATCCCAGTTTGACAGCAAACATAGAAATGTGCTGCAAAGTCAAAGAATCTAAGTTTACTGTTAAATTTTTTAGTAGTTTGCATAAACCGTAAACCTCCCCATAACCGGTCCGATATCCATTTGTTTTAGTGTATCCGCTGTTATTAAATTGTGTTTTTGAACTTTGCAGCACCTTCAAGAAAGCTGGAAATCTGGACAGAACGGATACACACCCCAGAGAACTGTTCTATAGCAGTCTATTGGAAGGTATTTCTAAAAGCTGGTTATCTTGTATCATGGTTACACTTCTTTGGAGTTTTCCAAACACAACCCTCGCTTATCTCTAATCATTGCCTATATACAGTCTCTGTGTGCGCATATTTTCTAATCTCCTTGATGACTTATCAGCATGGATCTCTGCCAGTTTTCTAAAACATTTCTTGAAGAGATTTATCAAGGCATTATCATGTATAGTTGTTGGAATATGGGCCATATATGTTTGCTGGAATATGGGCCATTCATTCCAGGGTAGAGTTTTTACAACATACAGTCATGGCCGAAATTGTTGGCACCCTTGATATTTCTCCAGGAAATCATGTATTTCTCACGAAACGTATTGCATTAACACATGTTTTGCTATACACATGTTTATTCCCTTTGTGTGTATTGGGACAAAACAAAAAAAAAGGGAGGAAAGAAAGCAAATTCGACATAATGTCACACAAACCTCCAAAAATGGGCTGGACAAAAGTATTGGCACCCTTTCACAACTGCGGATAAATAAGAATGTTACAAGCATGTGATGCTCCTGTAAACTCACCTGGGGCAAGTAACAGGTGTGGGCAATATAGAAATCACACCTGAAAGCAGATAAAAAGGAGAGACGTTCACTTAACCTTTGCATTGTGTGTCTGTCTGTGCCACACTAAGCATGGACAACAGAAAGAGGAGACGAGAACTGTCTGAGGACCTGAGAACCAAAATTGTGGCAAAATATCAACAATCTCAAGGTTACAAGTCCATCTCCAGAGAACTAGATTTGCCTTTGTCCACAGTGCGCAACATTATCAAGAAGTTTGCAACCCATGGCACTGTAGCTAATCTCCCTGGTCGTGGACGGATGAGGAAAATTGATGAAAGATTGCAACGCAGAATAGTCCGGATGGTGGATAAGCAGCCCCAAACATGTTCCAAAGACATTCAAGCTGTCCTGCAGGCTCAGGGAGCATCAGTGTCAGCGCGAACTATCCGTCGACATTTAAATGAAATGAAACGCTATGGCAGGAGACCCAGGAGGACCCCACTGCTGACACAGAGACATAAAAAAGCAAGACTACAGTTTGCCAAAATGTACTTGAGTAAGCCAAAAGCCTTCTGGGAAAACGTCTTGTGGACAGATGAGACCAAGATAGAGCTTTTCGGTAAAGCACATCATTCTACTGTTTACCGAAAACGGAATGAGGCCTACAAAGAACAAAACACAGTACCTACGGTAAAATATGGTGGAGGTTCAATGATGTTTTTGGGGGGTTGTTTTGCTGCCTCTGGCACTGGGTGCCTTGACTGTGTGCAAGGCATCATGAAATCTGAGGATTACCAAAGGATTTTGGGTCGCACTGTAGGGCCCAGTGTCAGAAAGCTGGGTTTGCGTCCAAGATCCTGGGTCTTCCAGCAGGACAATGACCCCAAACATACGTCAAAAAGCACTCAGAAATGGATGGCAAAGAAGCGCTGGAGAGTTCTGAAGTGGCCAGCAATGAGCCCAGATCTAAATCCCATTGAACACCTGTGGAGAGATCTTAAAATTGCTGTTGGGAAAAGGTGTCCTTCCAATAAGAGAGACCTGGAGCTGTTTGCAAAGGAAGAGTGGTCCAAAATTCCGGGTGAGAGGTGTCAGAAGCTTATTGATGGTTATAGGAAGCGACTGATTTCAGTTATGTTTTCCAAAGGGTGTGCAACCAAATATTAAGTTAAGGGTGCCAATACTTTTGTCCAGCCCATTTTTGGGGTTTTGTGTGACATTATGTCATATTTGCTTTTCTGCCTCTGTTTTATATTTGTTCCAATACATACAAAGGGAATAAACATGTGTATAGCAAAACATGTGTTAATGCAATACCTTTTTTGTGTGAAATACTTGATTTTCAGGAAAAATATCAAGGGTGCCAACAATTTCGGCCATGACTGTAGGTGATCACTAAAGTAAACTAAAGTCAGATAGAAGTTGAAGTCGTACATAGTGAAACTGGTAATCACATGTATGTAAGTCCTCATGCACACTGGATGTTTTTACAGGGGTTGTTTTTTGGCTTTTGACATTTTTTTTCTACAGACAGTAAACCCCCCAGCATGTTATCCTATGTGTCTATGTACACATAGACTGGAATCAACATTTTTTGGCTGGAAAAATACCAAGGTCTAGTGGGTTTCTAGAGTTTTTTAGCTGTAAAAACGCTCGAAGGCTGAAAAACGCTGTAAAATGCTGCAAACCGGCATCTTTGCAGTTTTTTTGGTTTAAAAAAAGTCCAAACATGTCAAAACCCTGCTAAACGCGTCAAAACGCTGCTAAACACTAATGCAAAAATGCTAAATAAAGCTGAAAAACTTACGTTTTTAACGTGACTTTACACAGCTAACGTTGCCAGCATTATCAAAACACCCCGTGTGCATAGAGCCTCATTGTCAACGTTTCCTGCAATAGTCAAGTTTGGCCCCTTCACCTTGCATCTCCTTTTTTTTTTTTCTTCTTGAACGGAATGGGCAGCCTGTTTGGATGATAGGCAGAAGAGGGAGGGATCACGCTCAGATGGATGGATTTTATCCTCATATGTTGGTTTTAATTGTCAGGACTTGCGAAAGGTTATTTTTTTAACAAGAATTACATATATACAAACTCAAGAGTTTTTGAGAACTTTAGTTCCCTTCAAGCGGTAGTAAACTGCAACCTTATTAAAAAAAAGAACAAAAAAAACCTGCAGGGCAATGGCATAATGTGCTAGTATGCATCGCAGTACGTGATACTTACCTTAAAACAAAGCCCTCCAGTGGTGCACTGTCACTGCTGACAAGGCTACCATCTTCACTTGGTCCTTCTTCCAGCTTTGTGGGCTCCGGAGGCTTGAATGAGATCACTCCCGCGCACATCACTTTCTGCAGCGCACAGTTCTGAAGGAATGGCAGGGGCACGCCGTTCCTTCAGAGCGCATGTGCCGGTTCTCTTGCAAATATTTACAGTAAGTAATACCTTATTAAAGGCTTACCTGTAGGTACAAGTACAAAAAACTGACGGCGGAGCCTAACTATGGCGCGGCGGAGAACTCGTGGTAGGAGCTCTCGCACGAGTCTCCTCTGACCGACCCCCCCCCCCCTATTTTTGGCCTCAATTCCCCTTAGAGGTGTGGAGCTCCAGATGGCTGAGACCTACCTCGGCCCTGGAGGGCTTCCCTGGATGAGCGGCGGCCCGCGGTTGGAGGAGCCGGGGAGCTGGAGAGCAGTGGAGAGAGGCTGGGACGCTGAGCCTGGTTGCCGGGAGACGAGGAGGCGTGGCCGGGGCACGTGACCAGCCGTGGTGCACCCCTGGGAAGCAGGGAAGCCGGCCGGCCGGCCGAAGGCTGACAGGGAGCAGGAGAGTCTTGACTCGCTGGAGGGCTGGGAGTGGAACCCGGAAAGCCGGAGATGGGAGCAGGTCTGAGGCTGCAGTGATACGCCGGTTCCCCCGGCGCTACATGAGTGGGAGAGCCGTGCGGCTACGAGGAGAGGTGACGCTGCGGGACCACGTGACCAGCCGCAGAGGATCCCTGGGGAAAGAGGAAGCCGGCTGCCTTCCTGATGTGACAGGGAGACGCCGGCTCACTGCTGTCTATACCCCCTGGCTGGCTGTCCGATCCTGGGTCAGGTGGACCCAGGAATACCAGGAGACCCATCCTGCCTCCCTGGGATGAACCCTAAGGAGAAAAAAAAAAAAAAAAAAAACACAGCATCGGAAACCCAGAGGAATCCCCCCCCCCCAAGACTGAGCAGCAGTGAAGGCCCTCCGCACAAGCATGGGGCCACCGTCCTGAGAAGGGAAGGGTGAGTGAGAGCTACTGGGGGCTTACTGTGTTGTGGACCCCTGAGTGACATAGGAGACCAAGGGGTGAAAGAGGGGAGGGGAGGATTCCCAGGGGTTAGAAGAGAAGAAGAGAGAGGCCCAGGTGTCCTAGGAGAATAAAACACATAAAAAATCGCAAGTCTGTCTGGTCCAGAAATTATAAAGGAGCAGTATAATCCCATCTTGAGAATATAGAAAGAAAAAATTAAAAAAAGGGATTTTCAGAGGATATGAAGAATAAAGGTCCCAAGGGAGCAGGGCCCAAAGGGTCTCAAACAGGAACAATAAAGAAATTTACATCATATGGAAATATTACGCCAGAAAGGGCCCAAGGCGCAAGCACAAAAGGGGAAATGGACACTAGTTCAGGTAATAGTCCTAGATTATCATTGGGCATGAATAGCAGCTGCAGCCAACAAATAGTGGATGGCTCGGGAAAAAAAGAATCTGATGGGGAACTACAAGTACCAAACAAGAAGGAGATGATTAGAAATGTTTCAAAATTTGGAAAAAACGATAAAACATGAAATGACAGCTATTCGAAATGATTTAGGGCATCTCCTATCAAGAATGTAAGAAAACAGAGGAGAAAGTTAAAATCCAGGCCCAAAACATAGATAATCTAAGGAAAAAAATAAACCAATTGGAAAACACCCAGAAAAAATTGATCTATAGAATGGAAGCTCAAGAAAATAAAGAAAGAAGGTGTAACCTTAGAGTACGAGGAATCCTAGAGACTGCAAAAGGCGAAAACACTATATGAACTAGTTAAAAAAAATATCTTGAACTCCATAAGAGACAGACCTGAAACAGATGGGATCAAGTTAGATGGAGTGTTTAGAATAGGAAAGTTCAAACAGGCTACTGAGAAGGAAAGACCGAGAGACATAATTGTCCAGTTCCAAAAATTTGGGGTCAAAGATGAGATTTGGAAGAAGACCAAGGGAAGATCATTAATTAAGTATGGAGATTTGACTATCCAAATTTATGCGGACTTAACAGCAGAGACCCTATGGAGAAGGAGATCCCTGAGACCCCTGTTGGAGCAAATGAGGAAACAGAATGTGCAGTATAGATTGGGTACCTCAGCATCTCTAATTGGCTGGAAAAATGGGGGTCACAGCTTATTTGAGATTTCCGGAGGAACTAAGGATTTTTGCGAGAGACTAGATTTACA